ATCATGACAAAACATTTACGATGAAGAAGTTTCGACAAAACATGTACGTTTAAGTTCCATGAGGTCATAACAAAACATTTACGAAGAAATCATGACAAAACATTTACGATGAAGAAGTTTCGACAAAACATTTACGATGAAGAAGTTTCGACAAAACATTTACGAAGAAATCATGACAAAACATTTACGATGAGGTCATGACAAAACATATACGAAGAAATCATGACAAAACATATACGAAGAAATCATGACAAAACATATACGTAAACATTTATTTCCTGTGTTGTTGTCAAAATGTCATGTTGTCTCATTTTTTCAGAGAAGTTCATTAACCGAGTGACACATGGTGACGTAGTGACACCTTCAGTTCTTCAAAAATAATTCATAACTGCCTTCCCCTGCTGTGTTGTTGTCAAACATGAACGTAAACATTATTTTTGGTTCATTTACACTCATTACGATGAAGAAATCTTGACAAAGTACATACGATGAGGTCATGACAAAACATTTACGATAAAATCACGACAAAACATATACGTTTAGTTTCGATGAAATCATCATGACAAAGTACATACGATGAGGTCATGACAAAACATTTACGATGAAATCATGACAAAACATATACGTTCATGTTTGACAAAACATATACGATGAAGTCTATGAACATAATAATATTTCAAACCAGGAGCCAAATTCTTGCGATTTTCATATGGAATCTCTTCTCTCGGTTTTCCGAGGTAAGCAATTATATGAAATCATTTACACTCATTACGATGAAAAAGTCATGACAAAACATATACGAAGAAGTTTTGACAAAACATAAACGAAGAAATCATGACAAAACATATACGAAGAAGTTTTGACAAAAACATATAACGAAGAAAATCACGACAAAACATATACGATGAAATCATGACAAAACATATACGCTCATTACGATGAAGAAATCATGAAAATTCAAGACCCTTTGGGTCTCGCCGCTTAGCGGCTGAGGTGAGAAAAGAGGTGAGATCTCACCTCTTCACCTAAAATATATTTTTGTCTGATTTACGCTCATTACGATGAAAAAGTCATGACAAAACATGTACGAAGAAGTTTTGACAAAACATAAACGAAGAAATCATGACAAATCATTTACGATGAAATCATGACAAATCATTTACGATGAAATCATGACAAAACATATACGAAGAAATCATGAACAAAACATATACGTTCATGTTTGACAAGAGCATATATACGATGAAACCTTGACAAAACATATACGATGAAATCATGACAAAACATTTACGAAGAAGTTTATTTCCTGGACTGCTGTCTAAATGTCATATGTGTTGTCAGTAATTTTAAGAGAAGTTAATTAAACCTGGTAGCATACGCTACATGGTAACATATGGTTAACAGTGAAAACATTAACGTAAACATTATTTTTGCTGAATTCAACAACAAAATGAACGAGGTCAGGATGTATGCAAATACCTTTGAATTCATTCATAAATGCCTTAGTAAGCTCATAAAATGTTTGTTTTGAGGTTGAGCCACTTTTGGCTCGACCGTATTCTTTCAACCAAAACTCAAGAATTTTCCTGCGTGAATTTTGTATAAAAAGCAACCGTCTGAATTCAGGCGGTTGTTATATTCTTCACAAAACATTTACGTTCATTACGATGAAATCATGACAAAACATGTACGATGAAGTTTTGACAAAACATATACGAAGAAGTCTTGACAAAACATTTACGATGAAATCATGACAAAACATTTACGCTCATTACGATGAAGAAGTCTTGACAAAACATGTACGATTAAATCATGACAAAACATATACGCTCATTACGATGAAGAAGTCTTGACAAAACATGTACGATTAAATCATGACAAAACATATACGATTAAATCATGACAAAACATTTACGCTCATTACGATGAAGAAGTCATGACAAAACATATACGATTAAATCATGACAAAACATATACGATTAAATCATGACAAAACATATACGAAGAAGTCATGACAAAACATATACGTTCATTACGAAGAAGTCATGACAAAACATATACGATTAAATCATGACAAAACATATACGAAGAAGTCTTGACAAAACATATACGTTCATTACGAAGAAGTCATGACAAAACATATACGATTAAATCATGACAAAACATATACGATTAAATCATGACAAAACATTTACGATGAGGTCATGACAAAACATATACGATGAGGTCATGACAAAACATTTACGCTCATTACGATGAAGAAGTCTTGACAAAACATGTACGATGAAGAAGTCATGAAAATTCAAGACCCTTTGGGTCTCGCCGCTTAGCGGCTGAGGTGAGAAAAGAGGTGAGAAAAGAGGTGAGATCTCACCTCTTCACCTAAAATATATTTTTGGATCATTTACGCTCATTACGATGAAAAAGTCTTGACAAAACATTTACGATGAAATCATGACAAAACATTTACGATGAGGTCATGTTAGAAAACATGTTAGAAAAGGTGTTAGATCTAACATTCTAACATAAACATTATTTTTGGGTCATTTACACTCATTACGATGAGGTCATAACAAAACATTTACGAAGAAACCCTGACAAAACATTTACGAAGAAACCTTGACAAAACATTTACGATTAAATCATGACAAAACATTTACGTTATACAGTAATGTTAGTCATGAATGTTTGTCCTACGTGTTGGCGTTAGTGTTGAAAAATAATGTTTGTCCTACATGAAGCCGTACAAGCGTTTGAATTTGTTTATGCATAAGATTACACTCTTGTTTTCTGTATCTATCATACAAACATAAGCAGCACCTGTTTTTGTAAAGTTTATATGAAGTTTTCGATAGTTAAGACCTGTATAATAATAGAATGCGTCCTCATTCTCAACATAGTAGTAGAACTCAAACGAATGCTTACCATAATCTGTTATTTCAACAGCTTCGTCAGATATTTCATCAACGAACTCATAAACTATATCGCCATACTTGCTTTTATTTCTATTGTTTTCAGATCTAGAACACCAACGAAGGTTTGAGATTCTGTTGTCCGTTCTATCATGATTTATATGGTCTATTTCTTTCAAATTGTTTGGATTTTCAATCCACTGTTCTGCAATAATTCTATGCTTTAAATGTATTTTGTTGTTTAAACTAAGCACAATATAACCATAATTATTTAAGCATTCACTCATAATATGTTTGTCTTTCTTTCGACGAATAGTAAAAGGATATGTCGTACAAATCTCATAATCTTCATGATTTCTCAATGTTTCCCATTGAGTTTGTTCCCCACTAACGTTCTCATTGACGTCCTCAATATCTTCTTCCTCACTGAACTCGTCAATATTTTCACTAGCTCCTTCTGTAATGTTTTCATCGGCATTGTCATTGACTTCTTCTGTAATGTTAGATGTTGTTGTTTCGCTCATGTTCTTTCACTAATGTTAAAAAGTTATGTTGTACGAATTTTGAACAGAATTTAGAGCAGTTATGAAACAATGAAGTATTTTTACGCTATTGAAAGGAACTATGAGAGTGAAGTACATGACAGCAATGACAAAAGGAACTAATATCAAACCTAATGAAATCGCTCACGAGGACATAGAGCTTAACAAGTACTTTGTGGAGTATCTTATAAGTGAAGAGTATGTAAGACCTTACTTCATGTTTGACAGCATGAATGAGGATGTTATTTCATGGTTAAAGAATATAAGCAATGTTTTCGGTAAGTACGTCATAGATGACAAAGGTCTTGTTGTATTTTATGAGACAGCAATACGAACACAGGAACTAATGGATATTATGCACTCAACAGCAAAGAAAGGATTTAGTACTATTGGCATGAATGAACATTGCAGGAATGACATATACAACCTATGCTCACGAAAGCCTTACACAAAAGCAATACAAATGATAGAACATAAGTGTCTAAGGTCAGCAAATGAAATCATTACTGTCAGTGGTTATGAAAGAACTGTTAGCAAAGATGAGTGGAAACAGCTATTCATATTAAGGAAGGACGTTGCTGAACTAGTTAAACCTGTTGCACAAACATTGTTTCAGATAAGACCAGCAATGACTAAGAACCCTTTGACCTTAGTCAATGAGACCATAGAGGTTGAAGATAATGACATGAAAGAACTAGGAATGAATGAGAGAAGTTGTGAAGGATGTTTGAGTCAAAACACATGGTTCTTCAGAGCTGTTAAGAAACTTAGTAAAGAACGACAGAAATATTTTATAGAGAAGTATTGCAAAGGATGTGTAAATGAATTGCTTGAAATAGAACTTAGAGACACTTTCACACTAAAGGACTTGAGAAGAAATAAGTACATGAGTGAGGACGGTATTGACATAGCTAGTGTTATAAATGACTTAAGAAGATGTGTTGTTGTTATTGACGGAGCACGTATGACATATCTAGTGAAAGATTATGATGGAATACGAGACACAACAACACTTGTGTCAGTAGATAGCAAGGAATTCAATAAGCTCATGAAGAGTGTTTATGTAGGACGTATTGAGGAGAAGGATGTGAACGCACTGATGATTTATGAAGCGGGTCAGAACAAGAACTATCTTATGAAGTCAGGCATGAGATTCTTTGACGAAAGAGATGACATTTACAGCTATTTCAGAGGATATGAGTATGAGGTACTGAATGAAGTAGATGAGAACGTTATTGAAGGATATTTGAAACATGTTCACGATGTCATATGTAATGAGGATGAAGAGCTTTATGAGTATGTTTTGAACTGGTTCGCCTACATCGTTCAAAATCCTTGTGGAAAGACTGGAACAGTACTTTTGTTAATAGGAAAGCAAGGAACTGGTAAGAATGTACTTAGTAATGTTCTATGCGAGCTCATTAGCAAGTACGCCAACAATAATATAACGGCAATAGAGAATGTGGTTGGTAGATTCAATGCTGCTATTGAGAACATGAAGCTCATCGTATGCAATGAACTAAGCTCATGCGATACGTCTAAGGTCATGAACCACGACGCACTAAAGTCAATAGTAACAGAGACTCAGTTGGACTTAAATCAGAAGTGTCAGCCAGTAAGAAAGATAGAGAATGTTTGTAATATCATCATGATATCTAACAACTTCAACTCAGTAAAGATTGACAAAGACGACAGAAGATTTGTTGTCATTGACGTAAGCAGCAGATACAAAGGAAATTACGAATATTTCTCAAATCTCATTGAAAGCTTTAATGAAGAGTTTTATTCAAACTTACTGACGTACTTCATGAAGAAAGATTTAAGTGAATTTGATGTAAGGAAGATACCATTCACCAGGGCTAAACAAGAACTCATCGAAATGAACAAAACACCTTACCAAATGTTTTACGAGGAGTTCTATGAAAAGTTTGTATCCGGATGGAATTGTACAGAGTGCTACAGAAGATATAAAGAATTTGCGAAGGAGAATGAATTCTTTGCATGTAGTTCAAATGTATTTGGTGGCAAGATGAGAGAATTTGTGAAGAGAAGTAGAAAGCGAGACAGTTCTGCAAGAAGTTATATTTACGAAGCAAGTATGATATTAGAAGGTCGTGGAAAGAAAGAAACAGTGAATTATGAGGAAGTGTTTGAAAAATTCATGGAGTACATGGGAAGCAATATAACATACAACAAAGACATATACAGTGAGTTTAAGTACTACTGTGAACAGCATGAGATTGAAGTAATGAGTAAAGGAGACTTTGAAACGCTTATGAAAGACAGTGAGGAGGTCATACATGAGAACAGTGATGAAATAGTTCATGAGAACAGTGAGGAGGTCATACATGAGAACAGTGATGAAATAGTTCATGAGAACAGTGAGGAGGTCGTTCATGAGAACAGTGATGAAATAGTTCATGAGAACAGTGAGGAGGTCATACATGAGAACAGTGATGAAATAGTTCATGAGAACAGTGAGGAGGTCATACATGAGAACAATGATGAAATAGTTCATGATGTCGTTCGTGAAGAAGCCATTGCAACAAAGAATGAGATAAAGGATTTCATAGAACTTAACAAGGAGGAGTTTAAAGAAGGCTATGAAGTGAAAAGATGTGAAGAAGATTTCTTGGCGTATTTGAAGAAAAAGAGACTAAAGCCAATGGCTCAAAATAAGTTTCAATCGATGTTTGAAAAGAAACGTTTGAGCTATGGTGGTGTAAGAAGCACATATTACTTTGTTAAGAAGTGAGGACATTTATTTTTGTCGTTAGTGTTGGAGTTTGTACTTGTTGTTAGTGAGAGAATAAATTAAATCATGAACTTTGCCATGGTCTCTGTCCCTAGTAGTTTTCATTAAGTTCTGGAAATAATGAAAGTCATGAACTTTGCCATGGTCTCTGTCCCTAGTAGTTTTCATTAAGTTCTGGAAATAATGAAAGTCATGAACTTTGCCATGGTCTCTGTCCCTAGTAGTTTTCATTATCTCACAGAGTTAATGAAAGTCATACTTTCTATCAGATGAAGCATGCAGATGAACATAATGAAAGTTAGTGAGTTTGCCACGAGTTATGAATAAAATATTGGCATACTAGATGAGATCGTTGATGAAACAGATGAAGATAAATTAAATCTTGGACTTTGCCACACTCTGTCCCTAGTTCCTCAAAATCCTTGACAACGTTGCTTAGAAATTTTGGTTCAAAACCTCATCTGATTTTAATCTGTTATGCTACCTGTTAAGTTTCGCGAGATTATAAATGTCATGGAGTTATATAAAAAGGAGGGACAGCTAGGGACACTGGAAGTACTTGTAAGGCTATCTGTTAAGATTGCATGAAATACTAAAAGTCATGAAATCCATTATCGCTGTGCTAGCTTCACCTTTGATTGAAATGACGACTAAAGTCACTGAAGCAATGAAACAAAAGTTTTTGGTAGAATACATTAAATCAGGAGCGGTTCCAGAAGGTTTTTACGTTCATACTATGAAGGATGGTAGAGTTCAGTTTAGAAAGATAAAGCAACCATTAGATAGAGAAGGAATTTTGAGAAAGATTAAACTTCATGAGGACAACATTGCTGAACTTAAGAAGAAGTTAGAAGAGTTGGAGAAAGGAAGAGAGTTATAAAGCAATGAATTCATGAGGTGAAAAAAGAGGTGAAAAAAGAGGTGAGATTTCACCACTTCACCTAAATTTATTTTTTCACCTCTGACAACGTTTATTTTTAAGTTTATTTTTAAGTTTATTTTTATATAAATGACGAAAACTATTGAGATAACAAACTACAACGGTCATGAGTTCAAGAATTTGTTCTTTGTTCCTCGTGAAAATACATTCTATCAGATACGAGGGAGAAAGGGTAAAGTTAGTTTAAGCATTTATGAAGGAATGAAGAATGGAAAGTTTATACAAGCATACGATACAAACGGTAAACGTGTTTCATTAGCTTTGTCAAAACTTACTAACATTTATTTTGACAGTAACTTTGACCTATATGAAGAAGAAAGTGAGTCAGAAGAATATGAACTGTTATGTGAAGCACAGCAATGGGAGGAGTTGCAATACTTTTGTAAGTGAGAACGTTTATTTTTTACATTAGTGAAGTCGTTTGTGAAAACGTTTATTTTTTCATTAGTGAGGTGAAGCGGTTGGCGGCTTTATAAATATTTAAGGTTAAGTTGGTGTTTGTGTTTGTGTTGTAAAATATACATTAACGGTTTCGTAAAGTGTCAAAACCGCTAAGTTGTGTACGGAGGCGCGCAGTGCCACAGTACACGACTTAACCATACTAACTATATTCGAATGAAAACTTCAAAGCTGTTGCATGGTTAGATAATGACGATTGCTTTAAGAAAATATTTAAATACAGTGACTCAACGATGTCAATAGATGACCTTCGTGGAATGTTACCATCGACGTTTACAGTAGAAGGTTCAACAGGATTGCTTACAAGATTGTCAATTGGTGGTATTTGGTCTCGTGAGAACATTGTTATAAAATCCAGTATAAGTGAATTTGCTGAAGAATCTATATTATGTCTTTCAAACTACATGTATTCGCCGCCGAAGCATTATAGTATAACAAACTTTGTCAGTAAGTTTAATATAAGACTTGTTGAACCTTCTTCAATGAAAGATGTTGTGCTACCCAAAGATGGAAAGGATGGACTCATTATTGAGATGATTTTAATAGCATATTAAATGAGCTTGTTCTTGAAGGTCATTCATGATGAAATAACTGTTGTAGAAGATGTTAGCAATTGTTCAGACATTTTGAAGCGTATAGATGATATAAGAAATAAGTTAGATAGACCGCAAAGCGGTGAGGGCGAAGCCCATGAGAACGCTTATGTTTCATTGACTTTCTCCAGTAACGAAAACTTTTATGAGATAATATTGAAGAGAGATGATTTTAATATGGGGTAAATGGTAGCTTGGGCAGCTTTAGGCGCAATGGGAACAAAAGCATTAGCATTTGGAGCAAAAGCACTTGGAGCTTATGACGCAGTAAATAAAATGAGTGGAGGAAGGGTTTCGAAGACATTAGATGCAAATAAAGGGAAGATTGGAGGCTGGGTTGCAAAGAAGTTAAGATTAAATAAAATAGGGCTCATAAATAAAGCATCCAATTTAGTTGCGACTGAGTCAGAAAATGCTTTAGGAAAGGACGATGAGTTTGCAAAACACGCAAAAGACTTTAATGACCAGATGAAAGGTGAAACAATACATTTAAATAGAGTCGATGGAACTAAAGAAAATGTTTCTTCTCCACCAGCGGTTTATCCATACGGACCTTATGGAATGTATGGAAACCCTTATGAACGACCATTTGACCCATTGACTGGTGGAAGTAACTGGTATCATTACGGCCGAAGAAGAAAGACAGTCAAGTTGGAGACAGACGTGAAGAAAGCAACTAAAAAGAAACCAAGGAAGAGAGTTATAAAGCAATGAATTCAACAGGGTAGAAAAGAGGTTAGATCTAACCATCTACCCTAAATTTATTTTTGTGCTATGTTTTCATACGTGTGAGGGTGGAGACACTGAAAACATTTACGAAATCATTAATGAAAACATTAACGTAAACATAAACGATAAAATATATTTCCGGGCTAGTTGTCAAAATGTCATATTGTCATCATTTTTAAAAGAAGTTAATTAACCAGGTGACACATGGTGACGTGGTGACACTGAAAACATTTACGAAATCATCACTTGGTTCAGAGATTTGAAATCTTATACGTAATGGATTTTCTTTCTTTTTATATAAATGACGAAAACTATTGAGATAACAAACTACAACGGTCATGAGTTCAAGAATTTGTTCTTCGTTCCTCGTGAAAATACATTCTATCAGATACGAGGGAGAAAAGGTAAAGTTAGTTTGAGCGTTTATGAAGGAATGAAGAATGGAAAGTTTATACAAGCATACGATACAAACGGTAAACGTGTTTCATTAGCTTTGTCAAAACTTACTAACATTTATTTTGACAGTGATTTTGACTCTGACGATTGGAGTGACAGCAGCGATACTGAAGAATATGAAGTATTGTGTGAAGCACAGCAATGGGAAGAGTTGCAATACTTTTGTAAGTGAGAACGTTTATTTTTTCATTAGTGAAGTCGTTTGTGAAAACGTTAGTGAGGTGAAGTGGTTGGCGGCTTTGTAAATATTTAAGGTTAAGTTGGTGTTGTCGTTTGTGTTGTAAAATATACGTTAACAGTTTTGTAAAGTGTCAAATTCACATATAATGTGTAAGGAGGCGCGCAGTGCCTCAGTACACTTGTTATGTATACTAACTGAAGTTACAACAGAATATTTATCAGAAAATCAGGATCTTTCTGAGAAACAGATCTTTATTTGCAACGATATCCTAACGAGGGTTAATTTAATTTAATTTTTATTTTTTATTTCAAGTTTGAGTAAACTTTCAAGATAATCTATATAAGCCTTTTGATGTTCTTCATCTAGATTCTTGTTTAATATGTGATGAATTTGATTTTTTTTTGAAAATTCAAGATAAAATTCTTTTTTATCTTGATCAACAACATGAACAATTCGAGTACAGCGTAACATTTCATCAATATTTTCTGTTTTCTTCGTTTCTAGATATTTTTCAAATATTTCTTGCGGAATCTCATTTTGATATACCCATTTATTTTTTTCCGGATGCTGATCTTTGTACTTAACGAAATATTGCTTGACTATTCGCTCAGAAACAACATATTCGATCTCTTTTCTCTTTCTCATTGAATATTTGTGACACTTTTGAATTCAATCAAATCAAAAATATTTGAAATTGCTAGAATTTTTTTCTTTCTCATGAATATTTGAAATGACTCAAAAGGAAAACTCGTTCGATTCAATTCAATTTTGAATCAGAATTTTTTAAGGACCAATAAATCAAATTATGTTAAGAAAATCTTTTTTAACTCAGAGTATCAAAAGTACGTTAAACCTTCAATTTTATCTCATGTCGGAAAGCGAACCGACAATAGTGGAAGAGAATCAAACTATATCAGTATCCATCCAAGCTATTGTTGATGAAGAAAAAGGAGATGGAGCTGATATGCTGGATTTAATTCAAAATGAATTGAATTCCCGTAAAAAATTGAAATATAGAATGGAAATACCTGAAAATCCCCCAATTCCAATTCTCAAGGAAAGATATAGCAAATTAAAATTTACAGATCCTACAGAAGCTGCTATATTTATTGCAAAAGATTCATATAATTCTTTTTATCCATTAAATTTTGAGCAAGGAAAAAAGTTTCGTTGTCCTAACTGCCAATTTTGCATGGAGCTTGTAAAGACTCATGAAAATGGTCAACTTTTCTTCATTCCAGTAATTAAACACAAGCATAGAGCAAAGCAATGCAAGCCGAGTAACAATATACCAAAAATTCTTAAGTTGCAAGCAGGAAAAAAAGTCTATGAATTAGCAAATTCTGATAATGTTCCTCAATGCAAAGAAATTTGAGTGTGGGACAAACTATCCAGTGTCACTTTTTTATTAACCTTATTTTAAAAAATTAATAAAATAATAATAAAAAATTATTTGAATCTTTTACATTAATTGTTTCTTTTTTAAAAGTACCTTTAAAGTACAATAAACAAGATTTGAATCTATTGATCCTTGTTGCAAACTTGAATATATTGCTTCAAGCATTTTTGAGAGTAGCCCATGCTAGCTTTTATCTCTTCTTGGATACCAAACTGGAGGAGCTCCATAGTGTTGAATATCACGGGCTCCATACAACAAATTGAATAAGGTATTTCAAAATTTGAAGGAAATGGTCCATCATTGAATGTAGTGGCCGGGAATTGAATGACATACAGATAGTTTGAGGAAATTTGTTATAAATTATAATATAATTGAAGAATTAATTATCAAAACAAGTCTAAGAGCCATTTGTCAGATTTTCCCGAAATGCAAGGTTAAGATTTTAGCAGCGACTAACTTTGAGTGTACATATATAATTGTTATACTGAGTACTTTCTATCTGTGTTACTTATTTGAGTCTAAGAGCCATTTGTCAGATTTTCCCGAAATGCAAGGTTAAGATTTTAGCAGCGACTAACTTTGAGTGTACATATATAATTGTTATACTGAGTACTTTCTATCTGTGTTACTTATTTGAGTCTAAGAGCCATTTGTCAGATTTTCCCGAAATGCAAGGTTAAGATTTAGCAGCGACTAACTTTGAGTGTACATATATAATTGTTATACTGAGTACTTTCTATCTGTGTTACTTATTTGAGTCTAAGAGCCATTTGTCAGATTTTCCCGAAATGCAAGGTTAAGATTTTAGCAGCGACTAACTTTGAGTGTACATATATAATTGTTATACTGAGTACTTTCTATCTGTGTTACTTATTTGAGTCTAAGAGCCATTTGTCAGATTTTCCCGAAATGCAAGGTTAAGATTTTAGCAGCGACTAACTTTGAGTGTACATATATAATTGTTATACTGAGTACTTTCTATCTGTGTTACTTATTTGAGTCTAAGAGCCATTTGTCAGATTTTCCCGAAATGCAAGGTTAAGATTTTAGCAGCGACTAACTTTGAGTGTACATATATAATTGTTATACTGAGTACTTTCTATCTGTGTTACTTATTTGAGTCTAAGAGCCATTTGTCAGATTTTCCCGAAATGCAAGGTTAAGATTTTAGCAGCGACTAACTTTGAGTGTACATATATAATTGTTATACTGAGTACTTTCTATCTGTGTTACTTATTTGAGTCTAAGAGCCATTTGTCAGATTTTCCCGAAATGCAAGGTTAAGATTTTAGCAGCGACTAACTTTGAGTGTACATATATAATTGTTATACTGAGTACTTTCTATCTGTGTTACTTATTTGAGTCTAAGAGCCATTTGTCAGATTTTCCCGAAATGCAAGGTTAAGATTTTAGCAGCGACTAACTTTGAGTGTACATATATAATTGTTATACTGAGTACTTTCTATCTGTGTTACTTATTTGAGTCTAAGAGTCATTTCTACCATAGAACTAGATATTGTCTCTCATTAAATATATATAACTGTAAACTGCTTAATTCATTTATCTATTTAGATAAAATTATATTTATATAAGATTTCATGTTATTATTTCATCTTTATTATTTTTTTATTCCTTTGAAAAGTGACACTGGATAGTTTGTCCCTTTCTCAAGAAATTTTTGCAAAAGAATTGAATATTCCCAATGCAACTTATACGATGTTCCATAATATAGTAAATAAACTTAAAGGAACCACAAAAGGGGATAGAATTCAATCTTACAATTATTTCTCAACAATTTTTTCAATCATAAACAAAATCGAACAAGGATTCTGCGAAATGATTTTAGTTAAAGAAGTTAACAATGAAATTGAATTGCATACATTTAAGAAAGGTGATGAATTACCTGAAAATTCAAAAGACTTTCAAATTTATTCATTTATTGTAATTCCTCCAATAACTCATTTTTACATGCAAACACAAGCTTTTTGCGGAATAATTCAAATTGATGGAACATTTTTATTTTGTATTAAAAAAGGAAACTTACTCATTATTGGTACACCTGCACCAAATAATAGACTTATCCCTATTGCATTTGCATGGTCTGTTAGTGAAAATACGATAACAATTAAGGATATGCTCACTAAATTGAAATCTTTTATTCCACCAAGCAGATTCAAGAATATTTATTCCGATCAAGGTCCGGCAATTATAGCTGCTGTTAGAGAATCAGGCTTTTCTTGCGATCATAAATTTTGCTTACGTCATTTTGCAACAAAAAGGGAATACATCAATGTCTATTCCGAAATTGTTGAAGTCGCTTACGCAGACCATCCTCAAAAACGAATTGACTTGATTAAAAAGTTAGAAACTCGTTTACAAGAGGAATATCCAAACCGCGAAAATAATCAGGATCTCTTTAAGTACTTAGATAGTATTAACCCATTTGAAGGATTCGCTGACTACACCGCTGGCATACTCACAACATCTCTTATTGAATCCCTTAATGCCGAAATTAAAGATAAATGGGATACATATGAACCCGCCGAACTAATTATCCGTCTCATTGAACATGAATTCAATCTTGTTAAAAATGTTTTAACAGGTGATTTTAAATCAGATAATATTATCAAAAATCTAAATGAAACTTTGAAACATTCAGATATGTTTAGCTCGGTATTATATGATCCAATTCAAGAATTATATTATGCAACTTTTGGTCGCTATACATATTGCGTAAAAATTATGTCAGATTCACAATATTCATGCACATGTAAGCACATCGAATTATACGGATTACCTTGTATTCATGTAATCGCCGTATTGAATCACTTTTCGAACAAAAATCTTCTTAAAAATTTGAATGATGCAGTTCATGCTCGCTTCAAATGTTCAGAGTTTATGACTCCTGTGGAAGATTTAATGAAATTTTATGTTGACCAAGCATCTTTAAAAATTCCCGGAATAAATTTCAACCTGGGAGAGATTGAAAAATTAAGGGGAAAAAGGACTAGGATTAAAGCATTTTACGAAAAGTGATGCTGTGTTGTTAGTTATTTATTTACTTTTTTTAATATTTTTTAAAAAAATAAAAGAAAATTCAAATAATTTTGTATCTCCCATGATATATCGACCCACGAGTACTAATGTGGCTATAATTAGAGATTGCAACTCTATTATGATCATAGTCCGGTGATATACAATAAGATTCAAATTTTGAAAGAATTAAATTAATAAAATCCCGGTGAAAAAAATAAAAACAGCTTCTAAAAGTATAGTTATCTTAAAATACGAACTTTAACACAAGTTTTTTGATCCAATAGAAAATTGAATTCTTTGAATAAATAAAATATTTTATGTATTAACATATTAAATTTCCTAATTATTTTTTCTTCTTGGGAAAATTTTTGAATTCGAATAGAAAATTCAATAAATTGAAATTGGGTTGAAAGAATTCTCCATATTAACTTGTCATATATTTCAGATCATATAAATTAAGTTAATTAAATTTTTTAAAAACCTTAATAGGATAAAAAAAGAATTTACACTCTCTCACTTTGAAAACGTAGAAAATGCCAATCTATTGGTATACATTTTAGTTTTGTTAAGTTTACAAAACGATTACTCTAGATTTTAAAGATTTATCAAGAATTTAGAGAATATCCTTCTCAAAACAACTTCAATAGCGAAGGATTAGTATTGAATCGGATTTGTAACATAATTATAGTACATTACAATACAATTTCTCCGACTTTTAAATATTTTTGAAATATTTACAAAATATGCTCTTTCTGTCATCGATACTTTAATACAGAGCAAATTTAGTAAATGTCATCACGTTATTTTTTCATAAATCGTTTTCGAACTTTTGAAATATTTATTTTAAACCAGTTTTCTACATTTAATATGTGAATTATATCAAAAGTAGATGGGCGATACTTGTAAATCTATTTAAACTATTAGTTTGCTATTATTGAAGAACTTTATAATTTTTTTTTCTTATGTATGGAATTAAAGATAATTTTGCTGATTCCAACTGGTTTTTCTATATGAGTTAAATATGCCAAGTGAAATTGGACTTGCCAATATTGTAAATTGAAGTATGGACTATATATAGATTTTCATTGATTGATGAATAACTCGGAGTAATGTAATTGTTGATAATGAAAAATAGTTTTCAATTGCTGGTAAGGGCCAATGTATGTTCAATAGCTCCGAAAGCAAAAAATGCACGTTTAGAAAAAGACGACGACGATTAAATTACAAAATCAATAATGACCCAGCATTTCGCGTACCAAGCTTTTGTGCAATAACAATCCAGTTCCTCGACGCGCTTTCTGTTGCTAACTCAATCAATTTCTTATCTTCTTCTGATGTAAATTTGCATTTGAGAGAATTATTTTTTGTCTTGGACTGTGAAATCGGCTGAATGATCTCTGTATCGTAGAAGAACTTCATGTATTGAAGATCTGGTATGAGGGTAGTAATCGGAGGCAAACTAACTTGCATCGGGAATCAAAGTATATAAATGATTTGATTTGAAAATTAGTTATTGAGAGCAAAATGGTCCTTATTCCTCTCAAATTTGGATTTCTGGTTCACAATTAATTGTGAAGCAATCTCAATTTTTGACCTGAAATTTGAATATCAAAATCACAATTTCATCGTACCGGCAATTGAACAATCAAGATATCGTTAAATCCAAATATCAAAACCAGTTTCTTTTCTTATTTTCCCGTAGGTTGCAATTTTTCTGATTTTTATTGAAATTTTTTTGATAATTTTGTTAATATTAATTACTTTTACATCACCACGATAAAATTAAATTTTGGACAAATAAAATTTTATACAAACCGAAAATGTGACATAATTCAAAAATAAGAAATATTTGATTTAAAACTTTGTGAAATAATCATTTTAAACATTTACACAGAATATTAATTTTCAAATGCTTCCAAAATATTGTGAAAATTTTATCAATTGTTCGAAATTTTATTTACATCAGCTTCCATTATTCATCAACAATTATTTCCTCTAATTCACAAATATAGGTATTTCATTTTATATTTAGGATCGGCAATTACAAAGGGCTATTCTCTGATTTTATTGCCATTATGACAAACTCACGATTAATTTTATTCTTTTTCAACTTGGAGCAACAGTCTATTAATTAACTTGCTATTCATTTTCAAATTTTGTATCCAAATTTTTAGCCTGCGACTATTAACTCCTTACATAAATATCTCGTTAACAAGTTAGCTATGATTAGAGATTATTTATGATAAATTCTAGTTTGCTTTGCTTTTTTCTTAAAAATTGTATTCCAAAGCATAAATACCCTATAATTTCTGTAATTCTGCATCATAGTTATGGCCAGAAAAGCATTTATTATAACTCTTCATAAAAAGAATTGTATCATCGAGGATGATTCTTGCATGAACTTATTTCTGGATATGAAATTATACGTTCTCTGGGCATATATTAACGAATACTTACTTCATTGATATAGACATTGAAGATTATTCGAATTTGATCAATTATTACCGAAAATAATTAAATTTGTAACAGGAAAAGAAAAGAAACGGTATGCTTGGTCAGAAATCAGTTTAATTCATTTCATGCTCAAATCTGACGATAAACGATAGTTCAAATCGAAATTTTGATTTTTCTTTTTTTAAGATTAAATGCTTCGAGATGTAGAAATCTATGAAGCGTTAAGGCTTGATGATTTAGCGTATATTCTTACAGTCCGATTTGAGAAACCATTATTGGATTTACCTAAGGAAGATACTCCACCTGGCCTCATGAAACAGATGACACTTGTTCAAGCCGCTGCATATTTTAGAGCGGAAAAATGCTTCACATACTTCTTTAAAAGAATGAAAAAGGTCAATATCTCATCCGATCAGATACATTTGATTCACTTTGCGGCTGCTGGCGGAAATATCAATATAATATCATCTATATTAAATAGAATGGATGTGATTAATAAGCAAGATGCTGATAGAAATACTCCTCTTCATTACGCAGTCAATGACAATAATTTTGAAGTTGCTCGATACCTATTAGATTGTCATGCGAATCCAAATGCTCAGAATTCCGAAGGCATTTCGCCAGCACATGTGGCCGCTATCAATGGCAATGTTGCGATTCTCAGATTACTTTACGATTCCGGAAGCTCTCTGAAGCAGATAAACTGCATGGGGTGGTTTCCTATCTTCTATGCCGTCAAGTACGGCCACAGTGATGCTGCTTTGTTCTTAGTTCAAAAACAATGTTTCGATCCTTCAATAGAATCATTCTTTTCTCTCGCACAATTAGCTACCTCATACGGAATGAACGATGTTGTTCGCACTCTCATAAATTTAGGAATTAATACTTTTCAGCCAAATCACAATTATTGGACGATTATACACTCTGCTGCAGCTTCTGGCAATACAGAGTTATTTATTCACATGTATAATGCATTCGGACCAGAACCTTTTTATCAAACTGATAGATTACAGAGAAATGCTGCTCATATTGCAGCAATCAACGGACAATTAGAAATTATCAAAGCAATAGAAGGTATAGGTATTAATATGTTCAATTCGAAAGATAAATATGGTATGACACCATTCATGCTAGCAGTAGATTGCTCGAATCGACATATTATTGATTATTTAATGCCAAAATCAGATTTGTCAGTTACTGATAAGAACGGGCGAACATTACTGCATATAGCTGTGGAAAATAATGATATTCCTTTAACGGGGTTATTCTTAGAAAATAATTTTGATCCAAATGTACTAGATAACAAAGGTAGAACGCCATTATTCTGCGCAGTAGAGAAGTCTCTTAGGAATCCCATAGTTGTTTTGCTTTTACAGCATGGATGCGATCCGAATATAAAGTCATTCGATGGAAATACAATCATATCATGCAGTGTTGTCAAAGCTCCACAGTTGCTTCAAGTCCTACTTGCTGCCGGAGCTGATATTGTAGCAACAAATAGTAAAGGATGGAATTGTCTGCATTTCGCTGCAATTTCAAGTTCAATTTCGGTTTTTGATCAATTGTTGGCCGACCAATCAGCCAAACTACTTTTGAATCAAACTACTAACAATGGCGAAACTCCCTTCTACTTAGCATGCATGAACGGAAAGACGTCAATTGTAATAAATCTCCTCACAAAAATGGCAAAGATTTTGCAAAAAGTGACACCGGATGAAGGGATTGATTTTCGATTTATCAATCAAGCAGATAAAAAAGGAAATTCGCCATTAATGGCTGCAATCCAGAGGGGATATTCAGACATAGCATCGAATCTTCTTAACAACAGCGAAATTGACCTAAATATCCAAAACGATGAAGGCAAGACAGCATTCCATATTGCTGTTGAGAGCTGGATGAACAAGACATCAATCGATATTTCTAACATTACGAAAGTTTTTGTCAACATGAGAGATAATCAAGGACTTTCGCCTTTTCTTTTGGCTTCAAAGCTTGGGAATTGCGAACTTGTTGCTGTATTAGTAACAAACCCACGCATCAGGTGCGATCTTATATCCAATGAAGGCATGAATGCGGCAAATTACGCTGCACATAGCATGAATCGGAACTTGCTTATGATTTTAAAGTACTCAATGAGAGTGGACATGACAAGAAAACACTTCGGAGTCGCTCCAATTGATATAATTGCAGCAGAACAACACGTTTACAGCGATGAAGAGGAAGAACCATACGAAATAAAGGCAGTGTCTGATTACTCAATTTATGAAGAGGAAGAAGAATTCATGTACAGCGATACAGAAGATTCTGACCCACAGAATGCTGACGTTCCAGATGCGATGCCAATGTGGCTTCAGAATGGAGATGTTTTTATTTCTAGAACAAGAGATAATTTGTTTGATAATCAAGAAAATATGAAGTGAAATAAATATAGAGTTTTAATGTTTTTAATTCAAAAAATCAATTTTGCTCTTTTTTTTTGTTTTAACTAATAAACTTTATAAGTGTAAACACTTAAATATAATTATGCCAAAATATCAATTGATAACATTAAATCAATATTTATAAATTCTCGTTAGATCAAACTATAGCCATAATACGAATATAACAAACAATAATAAAATCTAATGTGAATGTAATTTAATGGATTCTGAACTTCCTATTTCTGAGGTCAGTAATATATTTTTCAGGAACACCTTCTTCTTCGAGCATTTTCACCTTTTGATCTCGGACAGATTCCAAGTTTTCAATGTAATCTTTCTTCATATCCTCGAGATGCTTCTGTTCATCAAGATCAACAAGTGGCTGAAGATTTCTTGCTTCAATTTTAGCTCTTATATCATTTTGCAAGTATGTTCTGTATTCTTCATCACGTTTCCTCTTCTCTTCCAGCCGTCTTTGCCTTTCTTCTTCTTGCTTGCGTGATATTTCAAGTGCCTTCTGGAACTCTTCACGATCTCGTTTAGCTTCTTCAATCATACGAAGTTTTTTGATCCGAATTTCTTCTTCTCTTGCGAGTCTCATTTCTTCCTGGATTTTTCGTCTTCTCTCCTGCTCTGAGAGTTCTCTATCTCTCTGCTTTTTCTCGTTCTCACTTTGCACTCTTCTCATTTGTAATTCATCTTGTTTCTCACCATCATCGATTTCTTTCTGTTGCTGTCTTCTTAAAACATCAATCTCTTTTTCCCTCTGTTCTTGACGCCTTCTTTTCTCTTCCTGCTTCTTCCTTTCTTTCTCTGCTTCTTGACGTTGGAATTCAATGAGTTTTTGATCTTCTTCTAGTTCGCGTTTCTTCTCTTCTTGCTTGCGACGTATTGCTGCTGCATTTGCCTCCATGCATTGTTTTGAGAATTCTTGATTTCTCCGAATTCTTTCTTCTTGTTCTTTTCTTTCTTCTTCCCTAGCGCGTTTGTAATCTTCTTGTTGGAGCTCAATTTCGCGCTGTCTCTGTTTCCTTTGTTCCTCTGCAAGTTTCTTTCGTTCTTCAATTTGTTGTAACAAAAATGTTGACATTTGCTTTTGATTTTCTGCTCTCTTTCGTTCTCTTTCTGCGTATATATCTAACGCTTCTTTGCGGTGGGCTTCAAGTATTTCTGCTTCTTGCTCTGCTCGCTTTTTTTCTTCTTCTTGCCTCTTTCTGTTCTCAATAATTTGGGCTGCTTGTAAAGATTTGATTCGAGCAACAAGAACATCAGTATTTATAGCTTTAACTTCATCAAGTTCTTCGTTTTGAATAGATCTTGCTTTGGCAAGGACAGCTTCGTTCTTTTTGATTTGATTTTCAGTTTGCTGCATTTTGGCAACTTCCTGTTTTATTTTATCGTTAGCTTCGATAGCTTCACGCTTTTCGTAGATCTCTTGAAACTTCTGTTTCTTCTTTTCTTCTTTTTTCTTTTCCTTATTTTCGCGTTCAACAGGTGTTAGATGTTTTGCTTCCTTTTTCATGCGTTTCCAGTCTTGTTTTGATATGATGACCGCATTATTTCCAACACTTGAAACGGGAGTTCGGTATTTCTTGATGTTGCGATGCCTCATTCTCGAATTTCTTAAGGGTGCACCCGTATGTACGTTTATTTGAGAGGAGGAGGATTACCCTCTCAATTTTGATGGATTCGTTAGTTTATTTTCTCGATGAATATGCAATAAATTTTGATTTTTACCTTATCAATATACTTCATATAATATACACATGTTCATGTAAAAACTTTTTTCCAAAATCCTCAGGAATTAAGGGATTTTTGAATTTAGGGATGCGACGGTTTTACGCCATGACCGTTTAAAAATAGAATAATACGCCATTTTTGGGGCCGAATGGCGGGTACGAAGTACCAGCCATTCGGCCGAATAACAAAACAATACAAAATTATCGCCGTCCTTTTTTTTCTTTCTTTCTTTCTCTTTTTTTTCCTCTCTCTCTCTTTCTTTTCTCTTTCCTCTTTTTACTCCTCTTTCTCTTTTCATCATTAAACGTAGAAAGATATATTAATATTATTTTAAAATTAAAAAAAATAAAGAAAGTATAATAAGTAATTATTTAGTTATCGATATATATATGTAAAGTGATAATCTGAGGATAATCTGAGGAGGAGTCTGAGGATTAGACCGAGGAGTAGTTTGAGGAGTTTGATGATAATCTGAGGAGGAGTTTGAGGAGTAGTCTGAGGAGTTTGAGGATAATCTGAGGAGTTGTCTGAGGAGTAGTTTCAGGAGTTGTCTGAGGAGTAGTTTCAGGAGTTGTCTGAGGATAATCTGAGGAGTTTGAGGAGTAGTCTGAGGAGTTTGAGGAGTAGTCTGAGGAGTTTGAGGATAATCTGAGGAGTTTGAGGATAATCTGAGGAGTTTGAGGAGTAGTTTCAGGAGTTGTCTGAGGATAATTTGAGGAGTTTGAGGAGTAGTCTGAGGAGTTTGAGGATAATCTGAGGAGTTTGAGGATAATCTGAGGAGGAGTCTGAGGATTAGACCGAGGAGTAGTCTGAGGAGTTTGAGGATAATCTGAGGAGGAGTTTGAGGAGGAGTTTGAGGATAATCTGAGGAGTAGTTTCAGGAGTAGTCTGAGGACTAGTCTGAGGATAATCTGAGGAGGAGTTTGAGGATAATCTGAGGAGGGGTCTGAGGATAATCTGAGGAGTAGTTTGAGGATAATCTGAGGAGTAGTTTCAGGAGTAGTCTGAGGACTAGTCTCAGGACTAGTCTGATGAGGAGGACTCTAAGGAGTAGTCTGAAGAGTAGTCTCAGGAGGAAGATCTGAGGAGGAGTCTTATGAGGAAGATCTGAGGAGTAGTCTGATGAGGAGGGGTCTAAGGAGTAGTCTGAGGATGATGAGTAATCTGATAAGGAGTAGTCTGAGGATGATCTGAGGATAACCTGATGACTAGTCTAGGAGTGGTCTAATAAAAATGTAAAATATTTTCAAAGAAAAAATTCTATGAATTTTATATTTTAATTCTGGGCATTATACTGAATATCAAAATTTGAAATTGAAAACGCCAAAAAATTGATAATCCACATTCAATATTTTGTAAGTGGCGTACTTTTTGAATATTCGCCATACGCCTTGGTGTTCTCAATTTTGAATTCGCCTTTATTTGGGCGACCTCAGAAAAATACGCCATTAAGAAAATATTGTATGAGATTTTAAATTTGAACACGCTCTACCTTAAGGAATTAAATTTATTAAGATATATTTATATATAATAAACGATTACTTAAAAAAAAAGTATTTCATCGCTTATGTAAGTTTCAAAAAAATCACGAAAATAAAAAAATCAAGATTAAAATTTTATTTTTAATTTTTGAATTTCTCAAATGGCGAAATTTTTGGGCGAACAAAAAAAATGTACGCCCGGTCAAATGGCGTGTTTAACGCATCCCTATTTGAATTTTAAGAATTTTTTCGAATTTTTTCGAAAAAAAAATATTTTCAGAACAGCCTTAACGGCTAAGATTTAGGAACAATGTTAAGTATCAAAAAGAAAGGAGGTCTGATATAGACAACATATATCGTTGAAGGTTGAAAAAATCTCTAATATTTGAGCCCAAAATTTCAAATTTTAATTTTTTGAAAAAAGAGGCCACCCGTATGTACGTTTATTTGCGAGGAGAGGATTATATTTTTGAAAGGGTGAAACATTATGAATATGTTAATTATATAATAATATGTATTATTCTAAAAAGAAAAAATAAAGCACGTTAAAATTTTTCTTTCTTGATTTTTTACAAAATCTACTTAGAATTATGCAAAATATGACTAAATAATTATAAATTTCAAGTTAAATTTTAATTTTGATAAATAATTTAAATTTCAAAATATCAAGTTCAGTTCGACTATGTATGTAGTAATTCCTCAATAAAGTGCCAAAACCCTATTAAAATATATGAACATTTTCAACATTTTAATGTTTTTATTTAAAAATTTGTTGGAATATGAGCTTCAAACAATTATGTAAATAAAAATAATTAAATGTATTTATTCGTATTACAACCGTAGTAAGTCGATTCTTCCTTTCTTCTACTGAGGTTTGAATTTGATTTCGAATTGTAAAGAGATTCAAAGGGAAAATACTAGCGGATAAAAACTACCTCCATGAAAGGGTCATAATGGAGTCAAGTTGTATTTTTTGATATTTTTTGCTTTTCGAGCCTAAATAGGTAGCCAAGATAATGCCTAAAAATAAGGTTCTAAATTCTGAAGTTTACATGATCCTCTCGTGTGCACCCTTAAGAAGCTTTAAAAAAATGCAAAAAAAATGTAATAAAATAAAAAAATTTTTAGTATCGATAGTCTGAAATATGTTGTTTACTTAAGCCGCGAGCGAAGCGAGCGGCTTAGTTTCGTAATTTCATACAATATTTAAATAAAAACTCTTAAAAGATTTAAATAAATAGAATTGTTTTAGGAGGAAGGTGTTGCTAAGTTGTGTTTCAGCCAACAAAGCTTGGAATGATTGCTTTTAACTTATGAATTCATAAAAAATAATACTCAAGTATTAATCCTATAGAATCATAAATAATATAATGATGATGTTGTTTTCATGAATCATTTTTTTTAAGGGGAAATAAAATGAAAATTTGTTAAATTTCACCTGAAAGGGATGTGATTAGCAAAATAATGGTTTTGAAATCTAACAACGATTTATATATTAGGTATAGTTGTGAAAATTCACTCATATTTAAAGAATTAATATAATAAACTTTAATAAAAATGAACTATTATTGAGATATTCTTTAATTAAAATTTAATGTAATATCTAACGAATTACATAAGTTATTATGAATATGGATCTATTTTTGAATTAGAAAGAGAAATATCAAGTGCTTGATTATGTGAGAATGGCTGTTGTAAACAGAAATTCATCAAAAGTGACACCTCAGAAAATATTGAATTTTTGGAACTTTTGATAGAGCACGTTTTTAAATATTAATTAAAGTAAATGTATATTTTGTAAAGATTCTTTTTAATAAAAAAATTTTGAAGAAGAACACAAAATCTTCTGAAAAATAATATCACATAAACTCATATTATTTTCTAATATATAACTATTTTATATAAAAATCAAATTCAATGATCTTAAAAGCGAAGGATAAACCTCAAAATTTACGAATATAATGAGTGGGAATATAATGCTTATCTATCATAAAACTATATGAAATATCAATTTTTGCTTTACGCCTATTCCCACTCATTATATTCGTAATTTTTGAGGTTTATCCTTCGCTTTTAAGATCATTGAATTTGATTTTTATAGAAAATAGTTATATATTAGAAAATAATATGAGTTTATGTGATATTATTTTTCAGAAGATTTCATTCTATATGCCTATGAAAAGTACTCTCAAAACTAACTTTTTCCTAATTATAATTAAATCTAGAATATTGTATTATGCTTAGTATTATTTCATTTTTCTCATTCAATTTAGAATTTACAAATGTCAAAAAATTGAGAGCTGTCACTTTTGATGAATTTCTGTTTATTACATGGCTACAATTGTAATTGATTTTGTTCCATTTTACATGATAATAAATATTGAACTCAAATTTTTCTATAGGAATTTTTATAGTTTCTACAATAGAGATAAAATACTTTGAATGTAAAGTATAAATTATATAGAAAACGCATACAAATAACAATATATTACTTATAAGTAAGATCGAAGCTCGTTTGGAGCAGAATAGTCTATTTCGAAGAGGGATTCAGTGTCAATACTGGTGAAAATCCTATCAATATCAATATCACTAACAATCAAGGGCTCTTTAGGCGGAACAGGGGCTGGAGCTTCTTGATTGAATGCATTTTCAAATGAATCCCAGTTTTCAGATAGCCAGCAAATTAAGGCAGGCTTTTGGCGCATAGCCATTCTATCCAATTTTTTAAGCATTGGGGCATTAAAGTATTGAATGAAGTCCATAAGCTTTTGCTTTGTAATTGGACCTCGGATGTACTTATTGAGTACAGGCATTATCTGTACTATCTTTTTTTGGCATCGCTTTAGCCTCTTCTGCAAGTCTACTCTCTCAGCCATTGTTCTATGAGTTAATTCTGGCTTATAGTTCACTTTCATATAAGATAATGAAATGTTTATTTCAATTATCGAAATTTATAGAAATTATATAATACACAACAGTTAGTGAAATTAATCATATTGTGAAATGAATATTTTTATTCAATTTTATTAAATCACAAAATTTGTGAACTTCGACCAAAAAGTGATACTTAGGCAACGGTCTATGAATCACCATACTTTTAAACACTATTATATTTCTTCTAAGATATTATAATCATATTATTTTCAAATAAAGAATATGAAGTTTTGAATGAATCTAATTTTGTGGACTTGTACTCAAATTTTACGAAGGAATCATTTAATCTATATTATAAGGGCTATACTAACGATAATAATTATCAAATTTTATGCTCAATAATAAAATTCATAAAAACAATAAAATAATATCATACTATCGCAGTTATTAAGTATTGTGTTGCATGCTAAGTAGTGTCAATGTGTAAACCTCTCAATTTTATCGTCGGGGAAGCAACACAATTCCCTCAAAAATATTGAAAAAATATAGAAAATAAAATGAATTAAGATGTACTTAAAATGAGAAATAGATTATGATATTAGATTTTAGAAAAAACAGACTTTTGATATAACTTTTGAGAATCTCATATAAAAAAGCATTTAAAAATAAATTTAAATATCTTATTTATTTTACTATTGTAAATATATTCTGAGATTTTTAGAAAAAAACACTTTTCATAAGTATTCAATATTTGAAAATACTCTCCAAAAAAGAATAGATTCTTTTATATTCGCTTATATAAAAGGAGACTCTCTATCAGATGCGAATGCCTGAATTCAGCACCTCTGATAGAGAGTTTCCTCTTATATAAGCAAATCTTTTTCATTCGTTTTTGTTAATATAAAAACATCAAAATCTACCAATATAAGAAATTAAACCCTGCGAGGCACCAGTCTAGAACTGGCACTTCGCAGGGTTTAATTTCTCTTGACAAATGACAAAACTTGTTCGCAATTGTGAACCATTGCGAGCAAGTTTGCCAGATATCTGGAAGGAATTGCTCCTTATGATATATGCATTGTAACTGTATATATCATAAAGAGCAATTCCTTCAATTAAACGCAAAAACTTTGGTGCAATCGTTGCTGATTGCACCAAAGTTTTCGAACTTTCCCGAGGGAATTGGAGGGTGAGAGATACATAGTCTATCTATGTACCTCCCACCCTCCAAATCCCACTCTAAATGGAGAAACTTTGTTCGATGTTATCTTATTCAAACAAAGTTTCTCCCATTTAGAGAAGGAATAGGAGCCTACCAGGCACTGATATATAATCAGTGCTTTGTAGGCTCCTATTCCTAATAAAAATTTGAAAACTTTGGAGCATTTGATTATTGTATTTTGTCAAGAGAAATTAAACCCTGCGAAGTGCCAGTTCTAGACTGGTGCCTCGCAGGGTTTAATTTCTTATATTGGTAGATTTTGATGTTTTTATATTAACAAAAACGAATGAAAAAGATTTGCTTATATAAGAGGAAACTCTCTATCAGAGGTGCTGAATTCAGGCATTCGCATCTGATAGAGAGTCTCCTTTTATATAAGCGAATATAAAAGAATCTATTCTTTTTTGGAGAGTATTTTCAAATATTGAATACTTATGAAAAGTGTTTTTCCTAAAAATTTAATATAATGCTTAGCACAATATATAAAATTAAAATATCTATAATTATTTTCTATATCACACTTTTCATTACACCTTGAAAAGTCTTCTCAAACTCTATTTTTAATTATTTTTTAGATATATCTCAAGTGTGATTATTCGAATACTCATATAGATTATATTTATTTTTTCATTCAAAAAATTATATGAGAATCTCAAATTAACTTTCAAATTTTTTATTTTAAAGACATATTAAAAATCATATTTTAAGATAGTTTTTCGCCCAAAAATAATCGGACTTCCTCGACGATTAATAGGCTCTCAATTTCTATCGTTGACACTACTTAGCATGCAACAATTGAAAACTCTTTTTAAAATTATAAACTTTTTCAAAAATATCACAAACGATTTTCTCAAATTGACGAATAACCGTAATATTCTCACAAAAAGTATCTTCTTTACCTTTACAAATAAGAAAATCGAAGAATTTAAAGCTACCTTGGAATTCTATATAAATGTATTATTTTCTTCAATTTAAAAAGTGACTCAAAATAAAAATCGATGGAATTTCACTTTCGTTTCTATTTATCCAATATTGAATATCAAGAAAAGATTATTCATTTTTCCCTTCAAATTCATAAAATAAACTGAAAGTTTAAAATACAACAAATTATACAATATACATTAAAATTATTTTCAGACCAAAAATATTTTTCAAAGATCTTTCAATTCACTATTCAATTTTATTTTCCTATTCAGACTTTCTCATCCCTAGATTTCCTTCATCGACATTATTATCGGAACTCATCAATTACATTATTAAATAAGATTAATATCTTAATTTCATCTATGGACCAAAATAACTGATTTTTGTTATTTTTTCAACTAAAAATTAGGCTTTTTATTCCCTTACCCAAATTCAAACGAATTATTTATTTATCTATCTCTTTAATATTACTTTTTCAATTTTTTTTCTCCAAAATCATTTTGATTTTCAATAATTATTTTTTACACAGCCATTTTTTAAACTATTAAAGAGTTTTCAATTCAATTTTCTCTCAAATAAGATTTTTTTAAAAAAAAATCAATATTTAAATTTCAAAAAGCTTTTGATTCCTTACACTTTACTAACAGTTAAAAAGTTCTCATTCATTAAATTACAAAACATGCAAAACATTTCTTTTTTGAATTAAACATCTGAGGTAATTAGTTCTTTTTCAATATTTTCAATTTTTCTATTCCTGCTAATTAATAATACAAGTAAAACTATTACAATCACTAGTAATAAGATAATTATTGGTACAGTAATAGAAAGAGTTATTGTTAAATCCTTATCCTTTCCTTTTGATTGTTCGTTTGGCTTATCTTTAAAAAGGATTTCGATGTTTTCCTGATATTTAGAGAGATAATGGTCAAGTGTTGCATTATCTGATATTTCAAGTCTATCTATTGACACAGGATCTATTTGTGTATCATTGAGCGTCTGGTAAAGACCTTTTAAGTGAAAAAGCGTTCCCCATGGATAATGAACATGAAATAGGTCTCTATTCAGATAATATTGATACACAGTTGTATTTAACTTTTGTTTCATGTTTGTGGTGAGAAAACTAAGCATCGGAAAATCATTTTTAATTTTTGAGAGAAATTCCGAGCCACCAATTGAAATTTGATCATAATAAGTTGCAAGAATGTTAGGATAAGATAATCTCGGAACAATATCATCTGAATTCATGAAAGCTGCAAGCTTGGATCTAATATTTGGAGGTACATATTCCATTGCTGGTGGAGGAGCATATGCAATTCCAATTATATCTTTATCAGCTAAGTCAGGATCGGTTAAAGCCATATGAGTTACAATGCTTGTAATAGCTCCTCCTAGAGAGTGCCCTGTAATAACAATTTTCCCTGTATAGTTACTCATATAATCCTTTGATATGTTGTAAACATACTGCGCCGATCTGTAAAATCCTTTATGACATCGTGTTGTAGTCGATCCAAATTGACACTGCACTTCTGTAGCTTCAAAATTTGTCAACCAGTCTTCTTTCGAACTGGTTGATCGTGTTACAATATAGAGAGTTGATTCTTTATCGACTACATAGAAATGAGGTTTATACTTTTGATCGACTGTTGATTTATTTAAAATTTTAGCATTAACAAACTTCCCATGAGATGCTGAATCACATGGATTGATAGTATCTATTAAAAAATCGAAAGTTAGCCTGTTTAGTAGTGCCATAAATTTTTTTTACAATCTTTTTCAAAAATTGTACAGACTCAATGAATTATTGCTTTATCAGAATTTTATCATCTATTTATTTTTATTGGATATATTAGACTCACACAATTAGAATTTAAAATCATGAACGATAGATCATATTTGGCCACGATCATTTGTTTGACACCTTTCTGACGTCAAATAAGTATCATATTGACACTTTTCCTATTAAATATTTTAATTATTTGATACTGTTTATTCAGATCACGATAATTTGAAGATTTTTTTTGATTACAGAATTTGTAATGTAAATATTTCAAACAATTAAACTCTAATAAATAATAATTATTTTCTTTAAGATATTGATAAGATCATTAGCACGTTTCAAAAATCTCATTGAATCGAAATTAAAAGAATTTTATTTGATTCTAAAATTAAAATGAGCGATTCTCCTCCTTCTGTACTTATTCTTGCGGGCGGATATGGAACTAGGATGCGCCCATTAACATTTACACGGTCTAAACCATTAATAGAGTTTTGCAATGTACCTTTAATTCAGTATTTACTCGATGCAAGCTTAAAAGTTAAATGCAAATCAATAATAGTATCAATTAATAAATGTCATCATGATGTAGTATTATTTGTCAAACAGTATTCAGAAAAACATCCCGAAGTTGAAATACATTTTTCGATAGAAGATGAAGAGAGCGGTACAGCAGGCGCAATTTTCAAAGCAAAAGATTTCATCGGAACAAACAGATTTATTGTTCTCTCATGCGGTTGTTTAACCTCTTTCCCTCTTGCAGAATTAATTGATTTTCATATTAAACATAAATCCGAAGCTACATTGCTATCTGCTCGCGTGGAAGACTGCTTCTTTCTTAACGTCATAGAAGAGGATGAGCATGGAACAATCACAGCTTTTAATGATAAACCAAGTTCGAAGAAAAAGAACTGTTTAGTTCACGCCGGATGTGCAATATTTGAACCAGAGTTTATAAATAGAATTACTGATGAGCACTGCGAACTCGGAAATGACTTATTATCAAAGTTAATACCTGAAAATAAAATCTTCGCGTACGAACATCCTGGAGTCTATATCAACTTCGCGGAAATGCAAGACCTAATAAGTGGCATCAGTTATTACGCTAAGGACAAAAGTGTTGTTGTAGATTCAACAGCAAAAGTAGATTCCACAGCACAATTAGGCGATTGCGTTGTCATTGGCCCAAATTGTGTTATAGGACCCAACACAAAACTTGATCATTGCGTTATTTATAGCAGTTCTTCCATCGGAAGCAATTGCGTCATCAACAATTCAATTATTGGCTGGAAGAATAAAATTGGGGACAATGTGATTATTACTGACATGTCTGTTCTTGCAGAAAAAGTCACGGTTCACTCCGATACAGAATTGTCACAGTTTTATATCTCTCCTTACAAGACTGTGAATGCATCAAATGCATTCATTACGCTGGCGAAGGTTATTATATAAATTTTTTTTTGTTTATTGTATCATATTTATTTTTATAGTAAAATAATCGGAGTTTATAACACAAATTAATAGAGGTTGTAGTTAATTTATTGAAAAGGTCAATTTCTATTCCTTTTTTTGATACAATTGGAAATTTTGAAGAAGATTTTATGCCCAAAATGACAAATGTTTTAGATTTATTTCACATATGTCCAGTTCAAAACATTGTGATTTTTCATTGTTTCGAACAAATTTTTTTTTCAATTCAAAATTTGACTTTGGTCAGTTGTTTTATGAGCAATACTGTTGTTTACTCTGACTACGGAAAACATTTTATGGAATATGTTGACGATGATATGCTGTATACTGCAATAGAACATAATGATATAAAGCAAATTTTAAATTTCACAACAATTAAAATAGACGATCTTGAAAAGTTCATTTTCGGATATAACAAGCATCATAATAACATCGAGACATTAGAAGCATTGCTAAATATCTCAGGATTTGAATTCGGTGATGATATTAACAGAGTTTTATGTTTTTTAAATTCACTTTCTAAAATATTATCAACTCCATTCTTCTCACAGCTTTCATCATATTTTAAAAATGTTACAATACAAAACAGTGAACTTAAATCAAACATCAATAAACTCAACGAAACAATTCAAAATCTTAAAAACGAACACATGAAACTCATAGATTCAATTAACTGCAAACAAGACAAAGATAACTTTGATAAACTCAATGAAGCAATTCAAAATCTTCAAAACGAACAAACAAATCTTATAAACACGATATTAAGTAAACAAAATAATCAAGAAAGTATTGATAAATTGAACGAAACAGTTACATCTATTCAAAACGAACAAAAACAAATGTTTCAAAGCATTATATTAAGCAAAAAAGTTAACGATGAAACCATTGAGAAACTCACCATTCAAATGAATTCTTTGGAGAAGAGGCAAGGGGAACTAAAGAACTCCATTAATAACAAACAAGATAATCAAGGAACTTTAAGAAAACAAACTAATCAACGAAGTATCATAGAAAACAAACAAAATGAACCTGAAAAACAAACAAAACAATTAACACAACAAATATCAACAAGTATTGCAAACCAACAATCAATAACTGTTAATAAAACAAATGGAAATCCAAATTCAACAAAAAGTAACAAATTTATCAGTTCTTTATTGATGATTCCTAAAACGTATGATAATGTTTCATCTATATATTTCATTATTAAATCAGCAGCGTTGGAAAATAATACAGAAACAATAGAATTTGCATTAAATAATGGATATTTAGATACATTTCAATCCAAATATTGGAATTCTGATTATGAAAATATTCTATGTTACGCAACAAAAGAAAACGACGTAAAAACAGTGAAAGCTTTAGTTGATTATGGTGTGAATCCAAATATTACATCTGAAAATGGAAGGACGGCGCTTCATATTGCATGCAAAAATCAAGATATTCAATTGATTCAAATTCTTGCTCCGGTTTCCAATTTATCAGCAATTGATTCATCTGATTATACCCCATTAATGCTTGCAATTACTTCATCAGGATATTTCGATTCTGATCAAATTGGAATCGAAAATAGTTTCAAATCAAAAGAGAAATCAGTTTTCACAATTACATCATCAGAGGCAATCAAAACATTATTACTCAATTCCATTTCTAAATAAAGATTATTTTTTGTTAACAATAAAACAAACAAGTTTAAATATTTATTTATTCAATTTGGATAGTGGTTGTGAGGTATTTTAGACAGGAATTTCATACTTTCCACGATAGAAAACCTCTGTTGAGATTGTGCCCAAGACCCTTTGTACATTGTTTCGACTCTTTCCAAAGGAAATTTCCAATCGAAGTCATCATCCAACTCTTTCTTCTGATATCTAGAGTTCATCAGTGTTTGTCTGAGATGTCTACTCTCTTTAGTCACAACTTCTTCTCTAAAATCATCATCATCAGAAGTAGAAATGTCAAAATCCTTTGTAACCAAAGCATCAGAGTCATCACCATTCTTAGCAAGCAAAACATTGGAATTCATCGACTTCGAATTCCTCAAATTCTTCGGTGAAGAAGCAGAAGAACTCGACGAAGTGATGTCCAGTCTAAATTCGACATTCGCCGTCGAAACATGTCTGATCGATCTCCTCGGCGATCCGCCCTTTTCCGGTGGAGGTTTCAGCGGCTCGTGGATCTGGTTCTGCTCGTTGTCTGAGAGGGTTTTGTTCTGATCGACATCCCCGATGTTTGTTGAGTTGTTGCTGACAGAGAATGCAACAGTGGGAGCACCGACAGCCCTGGACGACGGCGCGAATGTTGACTCGCTCGCCATCGAAGTGAAGTCAGAGATTTTGTCAAATTTCGGCTGAGATCTGGAAATCGAAACAGTCACAGACGTGTTTTTTGGCTTTGTCTGGTAATTTTGGTTTTTAGACATCTCAAACAACCTTTTCGGAGTGTTTTTGTCCTGTTTCGACTCAGTCAAATAAGATGCGTTGACATACCTCGGAAATTTCTCATCAAATCTCTCGTCTTCGTAGTAGATGAAGAACAGGCTGTCGAATGCAGAGCCTCCGTCGCCTTCGGAAGTCCTGAACAAGTCGAGGATTTCATTGAACTGCTGCATCTTTATTTTGCCGTCATTCTTCAGTTTCTCCAAGTCGCTCAGAGGGAAAGAAACAGACGAAGCGCAGTTGGAATTGAGGTAGCCAAGAAGGAGACTCAGGAATGGCTCTAGATTCGTGGGTTTCGTCCCGTCGAAAACGAAAATTTTTGGAGAAAAGTTCGAATTCAGAAATTTCGAAATCATTTCGATTCCCTCGTCTCCGCAGAAGCTGTTCGATATGTCCAGGTAGTCGAGAGACTTCCCTGATGTCTCAAGTGTCTTGAAAAGCATCTCAACTGTCTTTCCGAGGTGAAAATTTTTGTCGCCTTTTAAAATTAGATGACTCAAATTTTTCATGTTTGAGAAGCAGCTGAAGAACTGGTAGAGGCTGCTGTCTGTCTCAGAGAGGCAGTGCGACATCGAAAGAAACTGAAGGAACTTCTGATTGGACAGGAATTCAATGAATTTGCCCGAAATAGGATTGTGATCCCAAATTAATGAGACAAAAAGGTTCGGATGAACGGAAGGGAGGTACTGGAAGACATTAGACCACTCAGTTTGGCTGCATTTTGTGTTGGAAAAGGAAATTCTTAAGTTTCCATCAAATATTATATCAATCGACTTAAAAAACGACAGTAGACTGTTTTCTCCCCATTCCACACCATTCAGAAGAAGGTTGGTCAGTTTGGGTGGAAATTCTAGGTCGAAATACCCTAATTCTTTGCACTTATTGTAAGATAAATTTATTGATGTACAATTTGGAAGTTTTGACTTCACCGACCGCGATAAAAAAGTGGCTACATCAAGTGAACAGTTTTCTAAGCTTAAAAACGTAATATTTGAAATTGATGGAAATAAAGAATAAAAATTAAGATTTTGCAGTGAATTTAGCTGCAGTTCTATCAAGTTAGATAAGTATCGATCATTTAAGAACGTAAAGAAAAAATATGTCATTGAATTTTGTTGAATTGCATTTGTAAACGATAATGAAGTTAATTTACTTGTCTTTGCGTATTGTAAAAGTATCTGTAGATGTTTGTCTGTTAGTTTAGTGTCTTGAAACGAAAATGAAGTAATTTTTGAAAATTTATTATTTTGCAAATGTCGAAGAAACCTCTCGAAGTAAGGAGAGATCATTCCCTTAAAGCTTATATGCTCTAGAGAACCTGTATCTTTGCCTAAATCAAAAGCATGAAAGAGTTCATCGCGTTCAACGTTATTTATCGTTAAACTCGTGATATTTGGTATCAATGGAATAATATCTGTGAATAATTCAATGCAGTTTTGATCGCTTGATAAGTCTGCAAGATCTATTGTGTTTTGTGAAGTCTGTAAAACTTTGATTATCGTTGGGTAACAATCTACGATATTATAGCTATTCTTTATTCGTATTCTCTGTTGTAGTCTTAAAATCGCTGAGTTGCAGTTCGATTTAGGATGATTTGGACTCAAAATCAAACCAATATTTAAAAGTTCTGAAGTTTTTAATATTCTGGGTAAAATATCTAAAATGACTTTGTATATTTTCGATATATTTTCTGATTTAAACTGAAAATTTGTTTGAAGGAATTGCAAATTTAGATTTTTATCTTTTAATTCTATTTTCTTCAGAAGAAACCATGAATATTCATTGTATTGATTAGCATCAACTCTTGTTTGGACGATGAAATGCGTATTTGAGGCGGAAATTATGACATCTCTCGAATAAGTCTTTGATTCAATTAATTTCGCTTTAATGCTAACACGAAAATTCGAATTCTTCTGCTTTGAATCACGAATCTTTTGGTTATTAGCATCATCCATATATAAATTTTAAGAATTATATTTATTAGAAAAAAAATTAGGGAGAGTAAATTTTTTAATTAGGGAGTTAAAGAAAATGTCATTGATTTAACCGATTTACGATTATTACTCATTCAAATATCTCTTATGTTTTTGATACCGTTTTACCAAGATATTCAGGATTTTCCTCTTTATATTTTTGCAATTCAAAATTTTTCAGTTCTGATAAAATTTCATTAAATCGAATAATAATATACTTTAAGGGTGCACCCGTATGTACGTTTATTTGAGAGGAGGAGGATTACCCTCTCAATTTTGATGGATTCGTTAGTTTATTTTCTCGATGAATATGCAATAAAATTTGATTTTTACCTTATCAATATACTTCATATAATATACACATGTTCATGTAAAAACTTTTTTCCAAAATCCTCAGGAATTAAGGGATTTTTGAATTTTAAGATTTTTTTCGAATTTTTTCGAAAAAAAATATTTTCGGAACAATGTTAAGTATCAAAAAGAAAGGAGGTCTGATATAGACAACATATATCGTTGAAGGTTGAAAAAATCTCTAATATTTGAGCCCAAAATTTCAAATTTTAATTTTTTGAAAAAAGAGGCCACCCGTATGTACGTTTATTTGAGAGGAGGAGGATTATATTTTTGAAAGGGTGAAACATTATGAATATGTTAATTATATAATAATATGTATTATTATAAAAAAGAAAAAATAAAGCACGTTAAAATTTTTCTTTCTTGATTTTTTACAAAATCTACTTAGAATTATGCAAAATATGACTAAATAATTATAAATTTCAAGTTAAATTTTAATTTTGATAAATAATTTAAATTTCAAAATATCAAGTTCAGTTCGACTATGTATGTAGTAATTCCTCAATAAAGTGCCAAAACCCTATTAAAATATATAACATTTTCAACATTTTAATGTTTTTATTTAAAAATTTGTTGGAATATGAGCGAGTAGGGGTAATTTTAGCTAAAAGTGACACGCCTGTAAAAAGTGACACACCATGAAGGGTGTGATTACCGATCGGTAATTTCGACAGTTTAGAATTTAAAATTTTTTATGGAACTGTTGCGAGTTTCATAAAGAATTTAAGGAATATAAGCAAAGATTTGAATCAAAATCTTCAAAAAAAAAAAAAAAAAAAAAAAAGGTAGTGGGGCCTCCAGGCGCGTTGCGCCCTCTAGCCCTGAAGATGTTTAGTATAATGAAGTTTTTTTTTTTTCTTGGGATGGCCTTCCAGGCGCGTTGCGCCCTCTAGCCCATAAAAAGTTTTTGAGGACGAGCCAGCCGTTGACTTTTTTGTAGAGCACTCAAAATAGTATACCTTTGTCCGGACAAGTAAGGGTCTATCGTCGCTACAGGAAAAGTTACGGGCGTTCCAAGGAAGTATACTTTGAGAAGCCTTTTCCCCCTTATAGAATGAGATAGGACGGTTATTTTACAAAACTGACAACACTTTGACCGAGTAGTTTTTTGTGCTGAACAAAAAGTGTCATATAAACATCTGTCAAAAACCGCTTTTTTACTTCACTTAAAATGCCACGTAAGCTACGTAAGAATATACGTAAGAGGAAGGGAGCATTGAAACATCCAATAGTAAAACTGACACCACAACAACAGTTGCAACAACAAATGATGAATGACCCCACTATGTTGCAACAAATGTCAAGCAACCCTATGCTTTTAAGTCGAGTTATTGGTGCACAGAGTGGAGGTTTAAGAGCGGCACTTTTAGCGAAAATGGCAGGCTATGGTGGAGCTGCAGACGGAACAGCTTATAACCCTCAAAGTCAAATGAATTTGAGTTCACTCAAAAATCAAATAACAGATGTCAAAAAGTCAAACATAGACATACAGAAACAAATAAGTGAAAACGAAAAGAAACTAGAATATGACAGACACACAAAGAAACTCAATGAGTTAAACGTAGAGAAAAAGAAGAAAGAAGAACAACTGAAAGAACTAAGTACAGAGGAATATGCGAAAAAAGTGTCAGAAAAAGCAGCAGAAGTAGCAAAAATGGAACAAGATGTTATAAATTTGAAAAACCATACTACTCAATATAAAGTACTGAAAGATGAAGAAATAAAACAAAAAGCCCTGAAGACATATATGGATAGCGATGAGTATAAAAAAGAAGTTGAAGCAAATGTAAAGGCAGAAAAACTTTTACAGTTGCAAAACCAAACCGTACAGTATGAAAACTTAGCACAAGAAAGTAAAAATAACGACGCAGCCATGCAAAAGGCAATGAAAAGCGCAGAATATATAAAAGCTAATAATGACTGGTTAGATGCCCAAGCCAACGCTAAAGCAGCCCAACTTATAGGGTCAATAAGGACAAAAATACAAGCGGATGAAGACAGTTCAAATGAAGCTTTAATGAATGCTGACTTTAAGAACGCCTTCGAAGCTCTTCATAGTAAGGTGAAACTAGTGAACGACTTCTCATCTGGAAAGAAACTGAAGTCTGAAGGTTTCGACAAAGAGTTAAGAGAAGTAGCACAAAATATGACGAAAATAACAGATGCAGCAACGAGACAGGCAGTTCAAAGTGCCTATGACGCCGTTAGAGCAACTGTTGTGGAAAGTCAAGAAAAAGAGTTACAACAGACCAAAACAGACCTAGTAAATGCTTTCTTAAGAACGAAAAGTCAGGTAGGACATTATGCTGCAGATGGAACATATGTGCCAGCTGGTGGAACTTATATACCACCAAACCCTCCAAGAGAAGCACCTGCACCAGGACTACCTAAAACATTTACATCGTCACATGGACACAGACACAGGCATGCACCAAAACCAGCACAACAACCAACAGTTCAAAACACTGCACCACAACCAACAGTTCAAAACCCTGCACAACAACCAACAGTTCAAAACCCTGCACAACAACAACCACAAACAGAGCAAGGACATAAAAGAAGTAGAGAACAAGGAAACCAAGAATTCTTAAAAATGCTTAAGGAAGACTATGGTTACCCAGATACTCTTGACTTTAGTGACAGATATAAAGAAGCTATTAGAAAGTTCAAGGAAGGAAATACTGACCCGAACCTATTTAGCTTTATGGTTCAGCACCAAATGGGATATAATTTCAAACCTGGAAAATACAAGCTCGCTAAGGGATATGATTTAATAGCATATCATCCAAATGACATGACTGAATTTACTCCGAGATATTTGGTGTCAGAGCTAAATGATAATTCAACTCTCTTCATGAAACGCGTAAAAAATAGAGACGGAACGAAAGAAGAAAGGTTTATGAGTCCGGATGACTTAGATAGGGAACTTGTTAAAAACGGTCTCGGAATATATGAAATGCCAGCAGATGAGGTACAAGAAACTCCACAGGAAGAAGTTCAGATACAACCAGACATGGAAGAAATAGTTCAGCAACAACAGCTAGAAGAGCCTGAAGGAAACGAACAAGTCCCTCCTTTGGAAACTACAGAAATAAATGACGCAAGACTGAAACATTGGGTAAAAGCTTTCCCATTCACAAAAGATATTATTGGTAACATGGAAAGAAAACCAGAATGGCTACAAAAACATATATTTGGAAACGAGCTTATTCCATATGGACAAGCTCTGTTTGAAGAGCTTGAACCGGAAACTCAGGAAAGAGTCATGCAAACAATACGCGAAGACTCAAATACAAACTATGACAAAATCTTTCTAGGATATAGGTTACCTGAGATGGGCGACCAGAGCCCAAAGGCAAAAAGGACACGTGAAATTTACAACATACTAGGTGAACATGAGGCAAAGATGCAACGACTTGAAGCAGAGGGCAAGTTACCAAAAGCGACACCAAAGAAGAAGAGTAGAACAAAGTGAAAGTAGTGAAGAAGTAACTTCATCTAGTGAAAGTAGTGGCAATGAAGGAAAAAGAAGAGTTGAAAACTCAGTCAGGAAGAAAGTAAAGCTTGGTACGAAACAATTATGACAAATAAATCCAACTATTCTATATTTTTACCCATATGAAATGTACGCCGCTCAGAATATAACGCCAACAGTTTTGGATGCCATGAACGGAAATGTTTCCGAATGGTATAACGAATGCGACAATGCCATTAGAAGGTCAGAAATAGTTCCTGGAACTTACGAATATACAACTGCTGTTTCTTATGGAAACGTAGGTGAGTTTGGAGAAGGTTCTTCAACAACAGTAGATATTGCTTGCGACAGGTTTCATATTATTTCTATTGACAACTTATTCTTATACGTGGAACAAGACATTGAAATAAAACCTTCTGCCAAGTTGTCTGACAAGAAAGGTTGCAATGGAATTTTCTATGTCGGATACCAATATGCTCCAGAAGTTTTCATGGGATATAAGATATATTCTAACTCTGACTTAGTTCAAACAGTAACATGGGCAAACTATGAATGATTCGCTTTGAGAAACTCAGTACAACCACAAGCTAGAGAACAAACAGACCAGTATGCAAATATTGAGAAAAATAAGAAGACTTGACCCTAACGTTCCAGGAGTTTATGTTAACCTTTCTGGACAAACTGCAGCAGCAGTAACCAAAGTAAAACTGAAACTTAGAGTTCCTTTGTCATCTTTCCTCATCTTCAGGTTTTTAAGATACTTGCCAAACTGGGCAGGAAAAATTTCTATCGAACTTACTCCAAGCAAAAATAACTTAGTCATTGCACCAACACAAGACCCATTCACTATTACAGACGTAAAGGGAACAAATCAAACGTCATTCGCCAAATTTTGCAAAGACAAAGTTGACTTAGACTTTGGTTTCTCAAACTTCAACAATGAAGTAAACTATTATTTCAATGCTGCTGGAACTGCTTGGGACCCAGTTAAGTTCACATGCGAAAAGTTTGAATGCAAGAGAATAGAAAGCAGACTTGCAGTCTATATGTTGGACCCAGATATTTCAAATGCTTTAGCTGCCAAATATATTGCAGTTCCACTTATGTTCCCTATACACCAAATATCTGTCAAAGACTTTGCAGGTGAAGTTGGAAACCAAAGTGCTGACCCAGGTGCAAGAACAGATATTGCTTTAACAACTGCAATGAAACATGCAGATACTATGTTTGTACTGTTCAGACGAACTATAAATGACTATTCTTGTTTCTACAACCCCGGTATTAAATATCATATAAACATAGATGGCAAATATTATCCAAGAGAAGAATATTCTACAGTTGAGGATATGAGGTCATACAACTTGACATTAGATGCTATGAACTTTAACAACAACTTCACAACAACCATTAACCCTGAAATGCAAAGTTCTATTATGCCATATGTGAAAGTATGGACTCATACAGGAGGTCAAAAAACTCAATATACAAATGGAGACCGTTCAAACTTTTGGCTTGGCATTCCATTTGCTGACTCAGAAGACTTTATGGGTGGTATTTCAACTGTTGGTACTGTACAAATACAATATACTGGTGACAGAGACGGTCCAGATGAACTGAGAGCAAAGAAGTTTACAAAACCAATAGCACTTTTCACGGAAGATGCTCTTTTGAAGATTCGTTCGATGAAACCTGCTGGGGCTCCTCAGATTGGCATAACGACAGCTTCCATCGAGCAGATTTTGCAGCAGGTCAGTAAGTTGTTCTTGAACTGACTTCTCTCCGTCAAATATTGACAGTACGCCAGTTTTGACATAATATTGTAAGATAAACTTACTTTAGAAATATCTGTAAGTTTTGTTGTTATATTTTTGTCAACGTCAAGAACTTTCACCATCTCGGTTATACCAACTTTCTTTGCTTTATGAAAATATTTTGGTTCAGCAAATATTGCTATTCTATAACATTTACCATTGTTTGTATAAAGAACTATTCTGTCAATGTATTTGTATTGTTTGTGTGTGTAAACTTTGTTCTGCTTCAATTCGAAGAGATACTCGAATACGTCCATCTTTTTATTCTAAGTAAAATGTCATTTCCGAAAAATAGAAGCGTAAGTGTTTCAAAAGGTTTAATGGCGGTGGCAGATGTGAAGTTAAATTCACCAACTCAAACAAACAGTCAAAGTGTTATTGTCAATGTCAAAGACAGAGATGTTGAAGTGGGGAAACCATACGAAGACGAAGATGGTATAACAATTGTTCCTGTAAAAGAACAACCAACATATCCTGAAGTTAGCAGAGACTTAAGTTCTGTTGCAGATATTCGAAACGACTACCAACAACTGAAAGACAAACTTCAAACTCAGGAGAAGATTTGTCAAGCTTTAAGTATAATGTTAAACTTGGTCGAACACAACCCTGTAAAAGTGAACTCATATGTCATTGCACCTCATGAAGTTTTGAAAGAACTATTGAAACTTTTGACAGAGGCAGACGATATAAACATCAAAGAAATAGAACCCGACATTAGTTGCTGTGGTGTTTCATATAATGTCATTGACAAGATATACGTTATGAAAGGAGGTGAAACGTTGAACTTAAAGTATAGTTTCCCAGACGTCATAAAAATATTTGACGACCACAACATTTCATTAAAGTTTATTTGCTAAGTAAAAATGTCAAAACTTCTTGAAAGATGTTTGAAGAAAAATAATATAGACTTTATTTCATGTAAAGGACTTTACACACTTTTGAACGATATGAAAGACCCTGTTTTGTTTGTTCGTGTAGACAAAGGAAAGTTCTATGTCTTTACAAAATATTTGAACTTCTTAGACAGAGAACTTCAAGAAACGCCATGTGAAAGTTTAGATGAAGTTCTTCTCACTTTCAGAAAAACTTTTAAATATATATAAATGGCAGAAGATATAATGGTTTATACTATTACGACTAAAAACCCTGAGTCATATAATTCTATAACAACAAACTTACAAAGTCCTCAAGGACGATATTGTAACTAACCTTAAACACAATGACGACTAAAGCCTGTTTTGCTCTTTTGACACCAGAAGACTTTATTGTTGTGAATGGTAAAAAATACTCCTTTGAAGATACTTACTCAGATATACCACCAACAGGTTTTGTTGACTTATTTAATACTTTAAGTACGGGTGTAAAATGTGCTGCAACTAGAGCAGGTTTCATTATGTTTGGATGTCCGACTGAGTTTACTATAAACGATATGAGCTATAATACAAAACTTATTTCTGGTTTTTACTACCAACAATTTCCTATAACAGGAAAAGGTGTCATACAAGGAATGTCTATTCCATTGACATTAAGCACACCAATCTTATATATTGTTTCAAACTTAGGTTCAAAGTGTTATTCGAATGTCGACAGAAACTACTATGACCAAAAGATACTTATGCGTATAAACAATACTTTCTCTGCTGGTTTGCCTATTGTTCATTCGAATGCAGAATTTTCAACCTTAGTGAACTCAAACACTTTGGCAAGTATAACGTTGACATTAGTTGACGCAAACTTTGTTCCTGTAAAACTTTTATGTCCTATGTATTTGTCAATGACAGCAGAAAGTTTCGAATTGGAAGATGCAACTGGTGAAAGTATTGTATTACAAGAACAACTTCAACAACAAATAGCTCAAGAACAAAAATGCAACAACAAAGTCAAGAATAAAAAAAAATTTTTTTTTATTTTTATAAAAATGTACAGAATAGATGTTTCAGATTTTTATGACTTCCAAGCATTCAGAAATATGTGTCCATTTCGAGACTATAACAAAGCAGTCGAGAATTTGAAACGTTTAGTCATTTATGTCGACTCTGCCCCAGAATGTTATGTTATGAAAGAATGGGATGTTGTCTTTAACAAACCAAGAGCAACAATAGTGTCTGAACAAGAATGTAGACAGAAACTTAAGAAAATAAAAGTCGTACAAGTTGGCATGAAGATGTTAGATGCTTGGGATATCTTATTGTCAAAGTTAGAAGATTTTTCAGTTCGAGGTATAAAGTTCTATACACCTTCTCCAAACTTCTATTCTATCTTCACTGGATATAAATATGAACAAGTAGAATGGAAAGAAAATATTATAGAAGCTTGGTTAGACCATGTCAAAGAAATTATATGCAATGGAAACGAAAGAGTCTATGAGTATATCTTATGTTGGTTTGCAAACATCTTACAACATCCAAGTGCTAAAAATGAAACTGCTCTCATTATAATTGGAAAACAAGGAACTGGTAAGAACACATTCTTTACAGATATTTTGTGCAAACTGTTAGAGGGCTATTCGAACCCGAATATGACAAACTTAGAAAACATCTGTGGCAAGTTTAACTCCTCAATAGAGAATATGAAACTTATAGTTTGCAATGAACTTCAAAGTATAGATACAACAAAAGTTTTGAACTCAGATGCTTTGAAGAGTCTTATAACAGACAAAGTTGGAGTTGTTGAAAGAAAGTATAAAGACCAAAGAGTTTGTGAAAATGTTGCAAACTTCATTATGGTTTCAAACAATGCTGTTCCGATGAAGTTAGAAAGTTCTGACAGAAGATATGTAGTTGTCAGAACGTCAGATTCTCATATGCAAGATACAGAATATTTTGACGACTTAGCAGAAACTTTGACATCTGACTTTTACAACCACTTGTTCTCATATTTCATGACATTAGATATTTCTAAGTTCAATCCAAGACAAATTCCACATACCGAAGAGAGACAAACATTGTTAGAAGCAAACAAGAGTGTATATGAACTGTTCATAGATGAAACTGACTTTGAGTGTTTAGATGAAAGGTCATTGTACGATTCGTATAAACAATATTGTCAAGAATATGGTTATATGACAGCGTCTAAACGAACATTCTTGGCAAATGTCAAAAGTCTTTTAGACGTACAGAATGGTGTATATACAAAGAAAATTTTTATGAGTAAATTTAAAAAAAAATATTTTTTTATCCGATAGAAAAGATGGCAAAATTCATCTCAGTAAACAAGTACATGTCAGGACTTAAAGAAGAACTAGACCCATTCACATATTTGAATGTTTACTTCTACCATTTTGAAAAGTCTTCATTCAGCAAAGTTTGGAACATCGAACCAGTTAAGTTTGCTATTGTGACTAAAAATGGTGCGAAATTTGAAGACTTAGACATAGAAGGTTTGTTAACAGTCAAAGAAAATTTTGACAGAAGGTTCTCAAACCTTAAAGAAGGCAAAGCATACAAACTTGTTATACCTTATGAACAAAGAAAGCAGACGACTATGAATATTATGAGTCTAAAGTTGTAGAAGTTCAAGGTAAATTGGGTAAAAAGATTTTAGAGTCTAAGCCAGTGTTTACTCCTAAAGAGGAAGAGAACATTGACATTGACCAGAAATGTTCTAAAAATAAAATTTTATTTTTACATGTCAAATTTCTTTTTCTCTGGAACTGGTTCAGGTTCTTTCTTCTCTTCTTCTACTTTCTTTTTTTCTTTTCTTTCTTCTTCTTTTCTGGTGGAGTTATGTCAAACTTCTCAGAACCATATTTTTGTAAAAGTTCTTTGTCCTTTAATAGCTCTTCTATTCTGTTTTCTATTTCATCTTCAAGAACAGCGCATGTGTCTTCTTTGCATTCTAAGAAGTTTTGTTGGACTTCATCTCTCCAAGAGGCGTCATCTCTGTCAACAAGTCTGTCATTGACAAATTTTAAGACTTCTCTGCTTAATGTTTTATGGTTCTTGTCATATTCCCAGAAACAGAACTTTAGAACAAATTCACCTTTCTTGTTTACACTATGTAAGATTTTATGGTCGACAGATGTTTTGCTGTCAAAAGCTTGTCTCGAATATAGATAGCGAAATCGCTAGACATTTTCTAAAAGATAAAAATTTTAATTTTTCTAAAATATGTTAGAAAAAAAGTTTGCTGACATTGACAAGAAATTTGAGAATGTTTTAAACAAGAACAAGAGGAAGTTAGAAAATGCTCAGATAAAGCCTATACATGACAAGTTCTTATTTGCTCAGAATGGTATAACAGGTCTAATTGCACCACCTGGGTCGGGTAAGACTTTCACTTATCTTAAAATGGCTGCACAACAACAAGAACTAGATGAGAAGAACCCATTTTATGAGTTAGTTTCATTTGTAGTACTTCTGGTCAATTTGACCAAACCGTCAATTCGTTCAAAGATATTATAAAGAAGTCTAAGTTAGTATGTATAAAAGACTCTGAGTTGTTTAGATTGATAAAGAAGTACCAAAGAAGAGTTTTGAAGTATATGCTATAAATGAGTATATAAATTCTAAGTTTAAAGACCCAAATGAGGAAATGCAGAGAATATTAGAGAAGAAACACTTCAGAAATAAACAGAAAGAGATAGAATACATTTCGAAGAAATTGCAATCTTACGATTGGAAGACATACCCTCATAGATGTCTTCTTATCTTAGATGATTTCGCCTCTCATCCTTTGTTAAAGAATAGAGAACAAGATATGTGTCGAATTCTTAAGAAACTTAGGCACTTTAACATCTCAGTTGTCATTTGTGTACAGACAGCAAAGAGTTTAAGTAAGGATGTTAAAAAGAATACTGACTGACATTATACTTTTCCCCGGATTGTCCGAAGACGATTTCATGGAACTTATGAAAGAGTCCATGGCAGGTAAGTTTGACAGACATGAACTATGGGAGAAGTACAAAGTCATACAAGACCCTCAACTTCTTTCAGAATTCATATCTACGCAAACAAAGTTCAAATTGTAAAAAGTCAAGCTTGAAAAATGTAAGTGTTTAGTCTTAGTAAGTCTGTTGTGGTGCTGGGGCTGTCGGTTCTTCTGGCTTTGGAAGGCATTCAGGAAGAGGGACGTGAGACATTCGTTTGTGTCCTGTTGGAAGGAAAAACTTTTCCTGTCGGAAGGAAGAACTTTTCCTGTTGGAAGGAAAAACTTTTCCTGTTGGAAGGAAAAACTTTTCCTGTCGGAAGGAAAAACTTTTCCAGTTGTCGGGAAAATTTTTTCCAGTTGTCGGGAAAATTTTTTCCTGTCGGAAGGAAAAATTTTTCCTGAAGTTCGACCAAAAAGTTCTCAATTTTCGAAAATTTGAATGGTTTACGGACGGACAACTGGAAAAATTTTTCCTGTCGGAAGGAAAATTTTTTCCTGTCGGAAGGAATTTTTTTTCCTGTCGGAAGGAATTTTTTTTCCTGTCGGAAGGAATTTTTTTTCCTGTCGGAAGGAAGGACTCGGAATGCCAGAAGGATTTGACAAGGCAATTTACTTTATAGAGCTACCTGAGCCATCTGAAGTCAAGCGTAAAAATAAATGGTTCATCTACTCTACTTGTTTGAAGTTGTCAAAATACTCTGTTATTTTTTCCTTTAACAATGGCAAATCTTCTTTGAATGTAAGTATTGTACAACCTTTCATATCATAGTGTGTTTGAGGTAACGTATCTTGAACTATTTGTTTCACATCTTCATTCGGTGTCATTGAAATCGGTAAGTTTTCGCGATAGAACCAATTTCTGTCAGATTTGTAAATCTTAGCAAGGTCGTAAAAGCTTTTGTTGTTTTCTTCTGACTAAATGCAACATAACCATATCTTTATCTTCTTCATTTTCCATCTCTTCAGTATAAATCATATACTTATAGTTCTTTTCCTTTCCTTTTGGTACCGAACGTGGTATTCTTTTCTGAATGTTTTTGTCTTTTGCTTCAATGACTTCATCTTTTGCTTGAAGTTTCTTTTCCATCTCTTCACGTTCTTGTCTATGAATTTCGTCAAGAAGTCTGTATATATTCCAAGCATAACGAGGCGAAGCCCACATTGCAACAGCATTTACAAGAAGTCTATGTACATACCAACCTCTCAAACCATTTGGCAAATTTTTACGATTTTCATGAGTTTTAGGCGACCCCGAAGGAAGTCGGTCTCGCTGTGCTTCGCTCCAAAGTTCTTGTGTGCTTTGGTTTTTGAACCAATCGTCTGTATGTTTGGTATCTGGAGCAAAACATGCTGTCAAAATACTTTGCATTTGGTACATATCGTCTTTGACCGAACGAATGAGACGGAGTTGTTTGTTAAACTGTATGTACTCATATTCTTCATTTATGGCTTCATGAACGATAGCAGTTGTTGTGTTCTCTGATGTTGACATATCTGTCTTTACATACAAAATAAAAAAAATATTTTATAAAAAATTAGCGTTATTTTCTATCTTTCACAAAAGACCAAAAATAAACGCTTTACATGTATTTTTCAGCAACTTCGTCAAATAATTTTATAGCTTTATCTATCTCATCTACTTCAAACGTTTCTTTACCTTTTATGGGAGCACCATACATTTTCTCAAACTTTTCGAGTAGTTCTGTTTCAGCAGCTCTCATATCATTAGCAAACACAACCTTGACTATATTGACTGTACTGTCATATCTTTGAGTTATATTATATGTTCTTCCTATCTTATATCTCTTTGTATTGAAGTCCTTCGGTTTCTGAACGATGTAAAGTAAGCCTTCACTGCAACGTTCCGTATCGAATGAACCATATGTTATGAAGTTATATCCAACAACTGAGTCTAACCATAACAAAACTATTGGTATAAGACTTTTGTCGATGAGATATGCTGTAGTTCCATAGAATCTTACCGATATCATAAGCTCAGGATTTCTTGTCAAAATTTTCTGAGTTGAAGCATTTCTAACCCAGTCGTGTGTTTTCTTTCCAGATGGAGATAAAATGTCTGACAAAGAATATTTGTTGTATTTCTTTGAGTATCTTACGTTTAAATCACCTATTCTAACCACTTTGGTGTCATTGTCTATCTTTTTAACTGTTTCAAACTCATTGTTTGACATTTCTGTTCTTACATACAAAATAAAAAAATAAATAAAAATAAAACTAACTTTATTTTTTCTATCTTAAGGAAATTCATGATTTTCATAGAGTTTTGGCGACTACGTTTTCTTACGTACTCGCTGTTCTTCACTGTTTTTCGTACGGAATCTCTACCCTCGTTTTTTTCGAGGGTAGCAATCTTATGCCATTTTACTCAGAATTTTGTGCTGAATTCAGCAAAAATATATTTTAGGGTAGAAGGTTAGATCTCACCCGTTTTTTCACCTGTTTTTTCACCTCATGAATTTTCATGATTTCATCGTACATGTTTTGTCAAAACTTCATCGTACATGTTTTGTCAAAACTTCATCGTACATGTTTTGTCAAGACTTCTTCGTAATGAGCGTAAATCAGACAAAAATAATGTTTATGTTAGCATGTTAGATCTAACACGTTTTCTAACACGTTTTCTAACATGGTCTAAAACTCTCGAAAATCTTGAATTTTCATGATTTCATCGTACATGTTTTGTCAAAACTTCATCGTACATGTTTTGTCAAAACTTCATCGTACATGTTTTGTCAAAACTTCTTCGTACATGTTTTGTCAAGACTTCTTCGTACATGTTTTGTCAAGACTTCTTCGTAATGAGCGTAAATCAGACAAAAATAATGTTTATGTTAGCATGTTAGATCTAACACGTTTTCTAACACGTTTTCTAACATGGTCTAAAACACACAAAACTCATGAAATTTCATACGGAATTCAGCAAAAATAAAGTTTATGTTAGCATGTTAGATCTAACACGTTTTCTAACACGTTTTCTAACATAACTATTTACAAGCGTTTTACATGGTATATGTTGCGATGGTTCATGACTTTAAACAGTTTTGTAGCTTCTATTTCTTCGCTGAGGATATCGAATGTTTTAACTATGCCGAAGGTTTCTTTATACTTCTTCTTGACGTCAG